TGTGTGTGTGTGTGTGTGTGTGTGTGTGTGTGTGTACCATTACTGGAGCTTCAATTCCGGGCTTCCTCAAGGCAAGCATTCTACCACAAATCCACCTCTAGCTTTCTGTTGCTGGAGGTAAGAATCTCATAGACTTCTCTTCCTGTGCTGGCTTTGAACCATAATTCCCTGATCTCAACCTTTACAGTAGCTAGGATTACAGGTGTGAGCCACCAGTACCTGTGCCTGGCTTGACTGATGTGTTAAAAAGGATCTCACTGGGCTGCTGTGTTGAGAACAGACAGTAGGGGGCAAGAGTGGAGAAAGGAGAACAGTTGGGAGATGGATTGAGTATCATAGTGAGAGGAGGTGGTAGAGGGAAGAAGAGTGAGAACAGATCCAATTTTGAACCGTTTTGTGGGTGGAGCCAATGGGCCTCCTTGATGATTGGCTTGGCGAGTAAGAGAAGCTGCCAGTGATAACTCTGTCTGAGACAAGGAAGAGAGTGGGTGGAACAGGTTTGGGGAGAAGATAATGAGTTCTCTGTGGCATGTCAAGTCTAGTTTAAACCTCAGCTCTGTTGTTAATTAGCTTTGTGGCCTTGGGCAAATTATTTTAAACTCTTTGAATCTTAATTTTCTCATCGTAAAATGAGCTAATGATACCTAATGTTAGGGTAGTTGAAGGAATGCCAGTGCGCTTAGCAGTCAGGGATGCAGTAAGTATCCTATCAATGACCGTCACTGTTGCCTTTCCTCTCACCAAATCACCAAGAGGTGAAACAGATCACAGTCTTCCAGCTACAGTTCATCAAGGTATGGAAGTATAGGACTGGCAGGGCACTGAGTTAGTGCTAGGAGGGGTAGGGTGTTGGAAGATCAAGATTTGTAAGCCATGACCCTCAGGTGGGTGCTGGCCAGTGAGCTAAGGTCATAAGTTAAGGTCATTTTTACCTGTGACCAATAGGAGAGGGACAAGTAAGGGCCCTGTGGACTGGTTTCCTACAACTATTTTAGGGTTGATAGGCTAGTCTTAATGTTAGCAAAAAACATTAAATTAACATTCTCTCCCCCACCTCCCAAAAGTGTGTGAATGAAAGTAGAGCTTTTCCTCTTGGAAGTTTCTGAGTGTTGGCAGGAACTAAATGTTTCTTGCCAAATTGAGAGACTATAAGGCACGCAAAGACATCGAAAGCTCCCAGTAGGCTGAAAATTATTTTATTCAAAAAAAGTGTTCTAAATATATGTAATTCTGTGCCTGAAATACCCACTGCTGCTGATTAAATGTTCTGAGGAGCAAACTTGGGGAATTTCTTTTTTCTTTTTCCCAGGCCACCAGGACAAGTAGTAGGCAAGGCAGAAAAAAAAAAAAAGAAGGTGGATTGGAGCCCAAAGGTGAGCACAAAGAGCAAAGGGTAAGTTAAAACCCTGAGCTCTGGCCTATGAAAACTCTCCTGACTTCTGATTCCTGTCTGCACAACAGGGGCACTTCCAACTGCTGTTTGGGATTCAGGAATGCAGAATCTGGCCCTATGGCTTTATATTAAGCCAAAGATTAGTCATTGCCTTCCTTAGGTTTTTCTCACATTAATCATAACAACAACAACAACAACAACAATAATTAGAAGGAGGGAGGAGGGAAACTTTTGCTTCATGAGCCTCATTGTATTGAAATGGTAAGAACGGAAAGTTGAGGGCTGTTTTGCAATGCCTCCTACCATCCTGTAACTACTGACAGTCATTCATCTCTCTTTTGAATCTCTTTTTTTCCTGGTGCATAATTGATTTCTTTTCTCCTTCCTATGATAATCTTCAAATAGCTGTACCGGGGAGTTTCAGTTTAGCACATCCATTTCTGTGTGAAATGCATCTTTAACAGTGTCATCCCTTTCAACCTTCTCTCCTCCTCCCATCTGTCCCAACCCCACTGTCCTCCTTATTCCTTGATTCCATGTTCGCCTATATACAATGACTATTACGATTGTGCTTCCCAATCTCCATCCTCCTTCTCTTAATTGCTACCATCTTTAGGAAAGGCAGCTTCCTGGTATTCATTTTGTTGAACTGTGTGTTAATTTTCAAAGTGTTTTACCTCTTTAAGAAATTATTATCTTCAAAGGGGTTTCACTTTCACACATCCATTTATGTGTGCAATGAATCTTAATCAGAGCCACCCCTTCTACCATCCTCTCTCATCTCTTAAACTTTAGTTTCCTCTAGGCCACCTGCACCTTTTTGGAAATCACTTTGTCTGTACTCTCCCAACACTTTGTACTAGAAGCAGTTCAGACGCTGTATTGCTTAATTCCTCAGGAAAGCTCTCTCCCCACCCCTCTTCTGAGTGGCTGAGTCACTTCCTCTTTCTGAATTGAAATCCTATGGTTATTTATACTCTGAAGCAGGGGAATGGATCCTAGGGTAGAAAAATAGACTAGGAAAGAGGTAATTCAGAGTCCAGATGGGAAGTGATTTGGGCATGAGTAAGAAACAGAGTGCATGGGCTGGGAACAGTAATCTTAAGAAAGTAATCAAGCCAGTGTTAAGAGTGGCTGTAGGCCAACCAGAGATGAAAGGACAGGAAATGGAAAAACAACAAATTGAGATTTAAAACTAATCTTCACTAGTATTAATCAGGAGATTGAGTAAATCCTATAAACACAAGAAGAGAAGAGTATCTAACAGCATCCATATTAATGTGCCTAAGAACAAAGACTCAGTTTATTTTTTATGCTTAAACTCAGCTATTAGCTCTTTCATTATATAAGATCAGTATCATTATTGGAAAACACAAAAAACATACCAGTAAAAGTTTCAGTACATGGGTTTATGCCAGCAAGTCTCTTTGACGTTCCGAAGTCAGAGATTTTGAGAACACCACTATAGGTATTAATCAATACATTATCACCCTAGGGAAAAAAGGACTTCAATCAAAAAATGTTTTTCTTTTATATTTCTTGCCAATTCTGTTTGATATCTACTTAATTTTTTTTAAAAAAGGGGCCCTTAAAACAAATAAGGATGTCATTCTATGCTCTTCGTTAACAATTTATCACTAGAGAATTCTTGATAACAATTTTGATTATAGATTATTAGTTGTTCACAATCTGTTACTCAGCATGAAAGGTCAAACATTGTCCCACAAGATAGTTCACGTATTTTACAGGCATCACGGGCTGTATATACTATGTGTCCATAAAATATGAATTCCCTAACTTCCCAATCATTATCTTTCTTTTCCTATGTTTTTTTTCTTCCCTTGGGATATTTAGGGACATCACAGATAACAGGCCTTTAAACTGATTTGAACATGGTAATAATATGAGTTACTGAAAAAGACAGCACTTTTAGGGACAAACATCTCCATTAATGAGAAAGCTGCTGTTCTTTTAGAGGACTATTAATGTTCCTTCAAAGTGTTATGCCTTTCTGTTTCAGTTAAAGCTCTTTGAAGAAACTTATGAGGGACTAGCCAAGGTCACCCAGCCATTCTGGCTTATTCTTCTAGGTGACCTGGAGTAAACTTTGCTCATTATACTGTTTTCTATCCTGTAGTATTTTTTAAATATATTTTTATTGTAAAGATACTGTACAGAGTTCATGAGTACATTTCCTATCGAGCATTTTTATCCAACATCTTTGTTTTTTGAATGTGTACTCTATGACCTCAAACTGAGCATGCCCAGAAATATGTCATCTTTCTTTTGAACAGTGATTTCTGCATGAACCAAACATTTGAGCATGCTCAAAAATGTACATATAAAATTGATCACATCTGGGAATGTGCCCACCACTATGAACATTCCAATATGATTTTTCATATGTTCTTTTTTATTTTTTGTCAATTGTGGGGCTTGAACTCTGGGCTTGGGCACTATCTCTCAGCTCTTCAGCTCAAAGCGAGCACGCTACCTCTTGAGCCACAGTGTCACTTCCTGTTTTCTAGTGTTTTATGGACTTTCCTGCCTGGGCTGGCTTTGAACTGTGATCCTCAGATCTCAGCCTCCTGAGTAGCTAGGATTGTAGGCATGAGCCAATGGTGCCCAGCTTGCAGAGGTTCTTTAATAAAATCCCCACGCTTTATTCAGGGCTAACATTCCTTTCTTGATTGCAAATGATGTCAGTACTCTCTTCTCCTGCTACAAGTCATGCTACTCTACTCTTTAATCTGCTAGTTGTGCCTTTTGGTTTTGTACTCACCAAGATGTGAACTCATTGTGTTTTAGTTACAAAACTAACATATCTGCCATAGTAAGGCCTTTGCCAAGCTCTATTTTGCTTAGGTTTTTGTTTTTGTTTTTTATTTTGTATTGAGAACTGAACCTAGGATGTTGCACTTGCTAGGCAAGCACGTTAACCCTGAGCTACACTGCAGTCCCCATCTCGCTCTTTCCTCCAACTCTCCCTCTTTTCTCTTCTTTCTTTCTTTCTCTCTTCTTTTTCTCTTTCTTTCTTTCTTTCTTTTCTTTCTTTCTCCTTTCCTTTCCTTCCTCCTTCCTTTCCCTTTCCCTTTCCTTTCCTTTTCTTTCCTTTCCTTTCCTGTCCTGTCATTTCTTCTTTCCTTTCTCCTCTCCTCTCCTCTTCTCTCCTCTCAGGATGGCCTGGGGTACCTGCCATATAACGCAGGCTGGCCTCATACTAGAAATCTTCCTGCATCAATCTTCTGAGTATTAAGATCATAGGACTAATTTACTATGCCAAATTAAATGTTTTTGGTCCTTTCCCCCCCCCTAATACTGAAGTTTGAACTCAAGGTTTCATGCTTGCTGGTCAGGTGCTCTACCACTGAGTCATCGCCTCAGCTTGCATTCTCTTGTTGAAAGGATACAATGCTTTTATTTTAGAGAATCTATAACTAATACTCTTAGTTCAATGCATAAAAGTAGTAGGTACTTGTGAGGAAGGGGACTTTTATTTATTTACTTCTTTTAACCATTCATCCATTGATTTAATATATATATACTTATAAGAAGTCATTATAGGCAAGGACACAAAGACTAACCAGCCTGTGAGCTAACTACTCAGGAACAGAGAGCATGCCCTGTATCCACTGTATTGCTACACTCATCCCACAGAGCTCAAAGAAAATACCACATACTGTGAGCATACTCAATTGGTTAATATAGATAAGGAAGTTAGTTCTGGCTCAGATGAGATGAACAAAAACTACTATGTAACTGGCTGAGAGTATAATGATACTTATATTTCTACTGTTTCTAACATCTAATTTAGATTTTTGCAGGAATTTAGGAAGATGAATCATGGTATGGCCAACCTTTATGTCCCGGTGCACTATTTGATTATCATGGAGGTATTTCAATCCTTCCAGGATTTGCTTTGTATAAAAGCCAATTGTTTGCTCATTGTCTTTTAATGGGCCCCATTTGGAACGAAGGAGAGCAGAAAGACTTCCTGTAAAAGAAATAAAAGGTGGATAAAATCTCTTCCAAATGAATATTTTAAAACATACTAAAAACGTGACACTAATTTAAGTGAACATTTATAACAATTGTACCAGTTCTTGGGCTTAAATACAAAAATATGACTCCTTCCTCTAAAGACAACACAGGCTAAGTAAAAGGCTAATGGCTCACCTTAATCCAAGGCATGATGGCTGATACTAAATTGGTCCCAACATTTATTTATTTTATCCGAACAAACTTTCAGCTAATGCCCCATATCTGATTTCTCTTTCAGCATAGTCAAATTAAGACTTTTACTCCAGTAAATCTCACTCATTTTAATCCTCTTCCAGGACTAGGAAATTTATCGTTTTGAAAGAAAGAGAAGCATCTCTTACCTCCTGGGACCTGTTCCATGAAGATCTTAATGAAGCCATTCTCACTCAAAGAGCCCAGATACTGGACAATATTTTTGTGTTTCAGATGCTTATGCAAGGCTATTTCTTCATGTAGGGGCTGAGAGTATCTGGAACACACGCAAATGTCAATGAGATAATTCTGCAGTCTGACCTTAGTGTATAAACCTAAGTGATACAAACTAAAATGTACCCATAAATAACATCAAATGACCACCCAAGGACTTCATGTCTCATTAGGCCAGTTCTGTGAGTTTGTAGCTGTTGTAGGAAAAGAAGAAAGGTCTCAGGGACTGTTCTAAGTTCCCTTATACATATTAACTCATTTCTGACATGTAAATAAGAAGGTACTACTAAAATGCTAATATTATAGATCAGAAAAAATTAACTTACAGAGCAGATGACTAACCTGCTCAAGATCACAAAACCAGTGATAGACTTAAGATGTGAAACCAGGCGATTAGAAGTTACTACACAGCTTGCTGTTCTGCTAACATGACTCTTATTCTAGGAGGCTCTTGCCCAGGAAGACAGACATTCCCAGGAATTTTAATGTTCATTCAAGAACTTTCTGAAAGAGCAATTAACTCTTCAAGAGAAAACATTGATTCAAAATCCTCACCGACACTATGCATCAGGCCTATTGTCTCATGATTTTTTTTTCTAATTCCCTACTAGTCTCTTCACTGAAAGACTAGGTGTAAAGCAGAGTTTAAAATCATGGGCTTGGCAGAAAAGGTCAGATAAGGTGATGTTAGGGAAATGAACCCTAAGATATGTATTCAAATTTTTTTCTTTCATGCAATTGTTTCTAACACATTTATAAGATTATTTCTTTGTTGCTTTGTATGTCCCTCCCCCACATTATAACCCCTGCTTTCACTGTATTTGATGTTGGTATAATTTGTGGAGGGGAAGGGAAAAAAAAAACCGTTAAATAGGGATACAGGTGGACCCATTGCAACAATGAGATGTACAAGTCGTTATGTCGAAAACGAACTTTACAACTTGGTGGGTGGGGGGGAGGATTGGGTGGGGTGGCAGAGGGAGGATGGGAAGGGATGGGAAGGGGAAACAAAGGAGGAGGCTACAATGCTTGATAAGAAATGTACTCACATTATCTTGCCCATGTAATTGTACAGTATTTTCACAATAAAAATAAATTAAAAAAAATCATGTGCTTGGAATATGTTGCTGCATCAAATGATGAAAGTGCTTTGCACTTTTGAAACAGAATAACACTCCACATGATTGCATGCAGGAATGTAAAGTTTATAGACTTAACATCTCCAAATCAATGTAGCTACTCTGTGATTTTGTACAGCTTGTCGAAGATCAAAATTTCAATAGACTAAAGTAAAGATTTAATTGGTGATCCATGAACTAGACAACATCTAGTCCAAACTGACAGGAGTTTTGCTTTGTAGGGCAAAATAGTCAGTTATTCTAAGGTAGCTTGGGCAAAATAAGGAAACATCATGGTGCAAAAGGCAACTGGTCATCATCAGGTAATTGTCCTTGTAAGGCTAAAGCAAAGGATACTTCCTTATTATACTAAATAGGCTACTTTCCTGTTTGGAACTATGGCTGCCATCTCTCTACTATCTCTTTACTGATTCATGTATAGGTCAGGTCTGGTTTGGTGACATGAAACTTAAGAATAAGTGATTCCATTTTAAATTAATCTATTGTGACCAAGACTAGGAGCGTAGTCCAAATTAGTAGCCTTTCATAAATTTTATTTAATAAGCTAAATATGGACAGTTTAGTGGTTTATACCTGAAATCCTAGTTAGAAAGATGGAAATCTGGAGGATTCCAGGTCAGCCTGGGCAAAATGTTATCGAGATTCTTTCTCTCCAAAGTAAGCATGGTATGTTGGCATCTACCTGTTATCTCAGCTACCTGGGGGGCAGTAGGGTAGGAGGATTACAGTTGAAGGATCACTGCTGAAGGATGACCTGGTAAAATGTGTGACCATTTTTTAAAACATAACCTAAAGCAAAAAGGGCTGGAGATGTGGCTCAAATGGTGGAGCACTTGCCTAACAATTACAAGACTGTGAGTTCAGATCCCAGTGCAGAAAAAACAAAAAAACAAAACTAAATATGGTGGGGTGTCAGTGATAAACACACTCAATGCTATTCTCTAATGCATGTACATGCATATACGTACATATATACAGTATATAAGTATATATATGTATATAACTGTATATATATATATGTATATAAGTGCACAGTAGAGGCTACAGAAGGGAAAAGCTCTAACCACTAAGTCATATTAAATATAAACTGATGTCTCAAACTTGCTCAGTCATAAATATGGGAGATGTTCAGATTTTCCAATGGCCAATCCGAATAAACACAGTGCATCTCTTTTGGATGTCAACAATAAACACTAGAATTTCTAGCATTCAATAATACTATTTTTATGAAGCTTGGCTAAAGCTAAAGCAATTAGAAATTTATAAAAAATATGGCTTGACTTAATCCAAATGAGCTTTTATAATCTGTGTATTACTATTCAGAAACCAGACAATAATAACAACAGAAAACCTTGTACTTCAGCCATAGTTCTCATTTTTCTTCTTTAGAACTGTTCTAGAACCTAAAAAAGATCAGGTACTACAATGGCTGCTTTAATAGTGTACAAGTTAGAGACAGCAACATTTTGATGGAAATGAACAAGAATTATAAATATGGAATATTGCCAATAAGATACTTTGGTAATGACTCTTCACTATGAGGACATTTGTAAGTTATTTCTTCTGTAGCAATAAAATCACTTGACACTAGTTCTTGATTACTTATATATGCATTAGTTACAAAGATGTGCTTGTTCTATAGATTTAGGAAATTAAGATAATCTGAAATAAGCAACTAACTCAATTTATTATAGATGAAAGGACTCTCAATTCTTGGTCCTTAATTGAAAAATCAAACCATGAATTCTTACATTTAAAATGATGGAAAGTCAAATTATCCACATTATGTAGTTAAATCAAGGATAGTTGAGAATTTAAATACTAGTCTGAGACCAACTAAACTAAGGATCTGCACTTTTCTCTAATATGGAAAATATTACAAATATCCAACAGTTTTTACAAAGTTCAAGTACTAAGCATGAAACAAGGATGAAGTGATAATTTTCTCAGTGATAAATTATGCATGCCTATAGGAATTACAAAAATCCTATCTTTTCAATCAGCAATAGCAATGGGAAGAATAAATGGTATGGTCAGAGATAGTTACGTGTATTTAGCTTGTAGTGTGTGTGTGTGTGTGTGCGCGCGCGTGCGTGCGTGCGTGTGTGTGTGTGTGTGTGTGTGTGTGTATGTTACTTCTGGGGCTTGAACTCAGGGCCATACACTCTTGCTCATGGCTAGCACTCTACCACTTGAGCCATTCTCTGATACTTTTTGTTGGTTAATTAGAGATGGAGTTTTGAAGAGTTTTCTTCTTTGACTTTGAACTCTGATCTTCAGATCTCATCCTGAGTAGTTAGAATTACAGTTATGAGCCACTAGCACCCACCATATTTAGATTTGAAAAAATAACTATTCATCTATAAATTTTTCTCGATTTCCTCTAAGTCAAATCTCCATTGGCAACCATCTAGAAAGGTGGTTTCCAACCTTTCTTTTGTTTGTTTCATTTGAGACAATCTCAAATGCTGCCTAGTCTTAAACTCAGTATCATACTGTCTGTGCTTCCTGAGTGCTGTGATTGCAGGTGTGAACCGTTGTGCTGGGTTGGTTTTCAACCTTTAACAGGCAGGCATTCACCTCTCCTGTACAGCTGTTGAAGAATGTCCAGAACAACCTTAGAATTTTTGGAGGTGGAGTCTGAGCATTTTTAAAAGTTTCCTTAGTTAGCTCTAATTTACAGCTGGATGGAGATACTAATAAAATTAAACAATTTAGGGTTGTGGCGAATGTTACAAGGAGAAAACCAAGATTAACCCTAGCTTGCGACAGCTTACTGAGAGTGTACTCTAATGTACAACCTCTCTCTTACAACTACTCTGATGCATGAGTGAAGTATTTTTAGAATGGGAAGGAAACACAGAAGGAACTGAGTATGTTTTGGATACTGGAAACTGGATCCAGAGCCTTATGTATGCTGAGCACAGACAAGCTTTGCTACAGAGCTACCCCCTAAGCTACCACAAGAAACTGCTGTTGCTTCTATGATTCTCCTTTGCAGATGGTAATTCAAAGTACCACCTCATGCAGTGTTCATATCCATTATACCACGTTAGCAATTATTCTTTGTGACTGCTACCACTTCAAAGGGAACATCCTGATCTCTCCAAGGAACAGGGACAGACATATCTGTGTGCTCTATCTTCACAATAACAATGTTATAGTATTATCTATAATCCCTTTAACCATTCAATGTCATGAACCACCTGTTCAGGGTAACGACCCATATAAATAAATTCCAAGTCTTTGAACTCCAACATGCCTGCCATATCTGGCTCTGGTTTTGATGCTTGCTAAATGTTTTTTCACCTTTTAGTATGCCTTGTAATTTTGATGAAAGACAGACATGATGTGTGTAAGCCTGTGTCCCTGGGTTGTGAACCTTACAGCCACTTTGTAGTTTTGGACACTTTAAGTGGGACAGGACAACTAGAGTGGATTAGAATTGGCCATTTCCTTTCCCAGTAAAATTTTCTCCTAAGGACAAGTATTTTACGAATAAGATGTTCTGATGGGATGTAAATGGTCTCCTTTTCTCTCTTCTATCAGAAGCACAAGGGTACTTTTCTCTGATATTCATTATGAAGATTTGGTACTGTTTCCCAGGGGTGAAGTTCATAAAAGTGTAGGGATTCTCCACACTCAGCCTCTGTTGTTTTTAACTCTCATTTGTCCACACTAGGTCTCTATCAGTTTGTTAGCTATGGGATTTTCTATGCCAGCCCTAGTGCCCATGGTGGTTTCCATGGGGTTCTGCTCTAGTAAGTATGACTATCTGTACTCGTTTCTATCTTTCCAGTTAGGGGGCTGCTTTCTGCCCTTCACCAATGGATCCTACAAGAGTGGCTGGTTTCTTAGTTGCTCCCCTTTCCACTTGTTCAGATGGAATGACAATCTGTAAGTGCCTTACATGCTGGACTGGAAACTTATTTATGACAGCACTTACTGTCCATCTATCCATAGAATAAACCACCTTACCTAGGATCACCCATTTGTAGTTTTTAAAAGTCCTTACCTGAGTCTTTTTGCCCATACAGCCAAGATTTCTACTTAAATTACAAAGCAATACAACAGATAAACCTGAGATGGATTCAAATCATACAATGGTTTCCAGAGAGTCTCATTTAATTGAATTACCACCAAGTATTTCCTAAACTTTTACTAACAATCCCAAGAGCACTCAAAGCAGATTTTATTAGCCCCTTAGTGAAATTACTGTACCTGCTATCTCTCTCTGGGATTTCCTTAATAGCAATCCTGACCTGGTTGCTCAAGTCTCGACCTGCATAGACGATCCCATATGTGCCTTTTCCTAACACAACCCGGTCACCGTTCTCATCATATTCATAGTCATACTGCAGAAGGAAAAGGGACACACAATAGTTAAACATTAGTTGCACTTGGTATTTCAAACACCATTTTGTTCTCTTAAGAGTATTCTTAGGCTGGGAATTTGGCTTAGTAGTAGAGTGTTTGCCTAATCTGCATGAAGTCCCGGGTTTGACTCCTCCTTACCATATAAACAGAAAAAGCCAGAAGTGGTGCTGTGGCTCAAGCGGTAGAATGCTAGCCCTGAGTCCCAGCTCTGAGTCCAAGCCCCACAACCAACAACAACAAGAAAAGAATATGAGAAGTAAAAAGATTGAAGTGGCAGCTTCAAGAACCAAAACTCTCCACATAAAGTAGGTAGAGTGTTCACATTTAGATTATACATATGTTATGATACACTGGGAACTGCCTTCTTGAATCTGTACAAGTGCTTCTGGAAAAGGCACTCAGATGCTTTTATGCATTTAGTTTGGGTTTGCATTGATCCTGAAGATGCAGACAACTGAAGTCAACATCCCTCAGTACTGATCACATTGAGTTAATTTTCTTCTTGTTACTCAGCTTTGGTACCATTTCAGGATTTCTTACTCTGCAAGACAGTGCAAATACTGAAAGGGCTAGGGTAAAAAGTTTGAAGTTTTCCTAGTCAATGATTTTAAAAAAAAAAGCAAGGATTTGCTGGGCACTGGTGGCTCATGCCTGTAAATCCAAGCTACTCAGGAGACTGAGAACTGAGGATCATGGTTCACAGTCAGCCTAGGCAGAAAAGTCCAGGAAGCTCTTATTTCCAATAAACTACTCAGAATAAGCTGGAAGTGGTGCTGTGGCTCAAGTGGTAGACTGCTAGCTTTGAGCAAAAGAAGCTCAGAGACAGTGCCCATGCCCTGAGTTCAAGCCCAGGACTGGCAAAAAAAAGAGAGCAAAGATTGTTTTCATTTTACCATCAGTTTCCCCAAATCCAAAAAGATAAAGACACAAAAAATTTAATTTCTTTCTGATGTTGTCTAGGCAAGGCTTGAACTTGTACTCCTGCAGCTTCACACTCCTAATAGCTAGGATTACCATATATGTGATGCCACACTTCATCTGAAAATTTTGATCTTTGATGTACAAAGGGACTATCTATCACACTGAACCCCAGTGTCGAACATAGCAGCAAAATAAAATAAATTAGATATGAGTGAAAAGAATATAGAAAACATTTCAGAAAGGCACCTCCTTTGACTCAGACTGCAACTATAATATTTTTATAATATTTTAGACCATCAAATGATCAAGCCACGTCCCCCAAAACTCAGCAAAATCTATAGGAGAAGTCATAAGAACAAGATCCTCCCACTGGATAGAATATAAAATTGGCAAAGAACAGTTACATCCACTTCATCAAAGGGTCTGAGTTAGCCAAATATTTTTATTTCTTACATTTTATCAGCCAGAAATTTGACATTAGGTATTGCTGAATAATTCATGAAGAAAACAATGGTCATAGATTTCTTTTATTGTTGTTGTTTGTAGTGCTAGGGACAGAACCCATGGCTATGAGCATATTAGGCAAGTGTTTTTTTTTTTTATCACTAAACAATATGCCTAACTAGTAATGGATTTTTTTTTTTTTAGTGTGGGGCTTGAACTCAGGGTCTCAGGCCTCTTTGTGCTCAAGGCTACCCTCTACCACTTGAGCCACAGCCTCACTTCCAGTTTTTGAGTGGTTAATTGGAGATAAGATTCTTTGTGGGACTTTTCTGCCTGGACTGGTTTCTGTGATCTTCAGATCTCAGCCTCCTGAGTAGCTAGGATTACAGGCATGAGCCACCAGTGCCTGACCCTACTCATGGAATTTTATGCTCATCAAAAACATTGGCCTTGAAGCCAAGCATGGTGGCTCAAGCCTGTAATCCTAACTGCGTGGGAGGTAGAATTTGTTTTGAGGCTGACACAGGCAAGAAAAACTTCAAGAGACTCCATCTTAACCAACATCCAAGCACAGTGGTATGCACTTGTCATCCTAGCTACAGGGAAAGCACAATAGCTGGGCACAATGGTATTTGCTTGTCACAAATAGGAGGAATATAGCCCAAGCTGGCTTGCGCATAACACCTATGTAACAGAAAGATGAAGGAGACAGGAGCCTAGTCTGGCTTATTCAGAGAGAAAATTGTCTAAGCGATGGCCAGAGAAACCAGAACAGAACTGCATCTAACACCTAGGAAGACAGGGGCTTGAACGGATGAATATGGAAACAAAAAAGGAGGAAAAACCCCCAGATTTTTAAAAAAATAAAGGGTATGATTACACAACTTATATATTTTATATTCTATTTCTACGGTAATGGTTAGGAAATCAAGCTGTTCCTAAGGGAGACAAGAGTTGCATCTCAAAACACTGATGGGAATAGATCTAGAATCATCCCTTTATTACTGCCTGCCCAGAACCACCTCAATTGATGCTGGGAAGAGAACTGGCAGGGGAAGACATTATTGACAAGGCCAAACAACAGAGTGATGATTCACTCAGTCCTTGCATTTCCGAGGGACCTACAGTGAAAGAATCACTGTATCAAAGCCAAGCTACTTTCCTCTGGAACTCCCGTGCAAGATGAGTTGTTACCTCAAATGACTTCATTATTTTTCAGACTGTCATGCCTCCTTTTTGGCAAATGCCCCAAACACTGATAACAGTAATAGAATGTCAAGTCCATTTTACCCAGTGTACCAGATCTATCTTAAATCTTTACTCAAATACTACTTTTTAAAATTTTTATTTATTTGCTTATTTTTGTCAGTCATAGGACTTGAACTCAAGAGCCTGGGCACTGCCACTGATCTTTATGGCTGAAGGCTAGTGCTCTTACTTTTGGACCACAATTCTATGTCTAGTGTTTTGGTGATTAAATGGAGATATGACTCTCACAGAGACTTTTTTTTTGTCCCAGGCTGGCTTTGCTCTGTAATCCTGAGATCTTAGCCCCCTGAGTAGCTAGGATTCTAGGGGTGAGCCACTGGTGCTAGCAACTTTTTTATTTTTGACAGTACAGGGGGTGTTTATGCTCTTCCACTTGAGCCACCTCCTGAACCTCAATTATTACCTCCTTAAATAGTCTTCCTCTCCTCCCTATCTAAAATCCCATACCCTTGCTGTCCTATAACTTCCTGAATGCTTATTGCTTTGATTTGTTATTCTTTTAACTTTCATAGTTTCAGGTTCTGGGTGTAACATACTAATGAGGGCCACAAAAGATTCTATCATTCAGAAACTTCGCTGATATTTATGTGCTTGGATTGTACACAGCTCAGAAGAGAATAGAAAAAGCCTAACCAATGTTATCCAGGCTGTGAAGGTAATTGATACTCTCATGGATAAAACATAGTTGTTCACTTTCTGGTAAGGAAAATACTAAAACTAAGTACTCCTGAGTTTTCTGAGTTCACTAGTGTTTGTGCACTTTTAACCACGAGAATTCTAGAAGCTACTTCTTTTTTTTTACTGGGTTTTTATTAGCATATATTAATTGTTCAAGGAAAGGTTCATTGTGACATTTCCACATATACATACAATATACTTGATCATATTCACCCCTTCATTTCTCTACCTATCTCCTTCTTAAAAATTTAGTAGAGTTTATTCTACTTCCGAGCATGTATACCAAGCACTTCAATCATATATATTCACTATCATTCACTCTAGAAGCTACTTTGTGCATTACCTCCAGGGAGTCACCTTCACAGTCTCCTTCCTCTGTGCTTCTCCCCTTCTCTTCCGTGATGGTGTTCACCATTTCAAAAAACCTACAATAAAAGTTGGAATCCATAACACAATGGAATATGAAACATTCACGCTCTTTGACTTGTGATATAATCAAGATGTACTTGATTATACTTAAAGCCTGCTGAACATTCTAGCTCAACCTAACCTACCTTCAATGTTACATGAGCCAAGAATTGGGAGAAATTATCTGACACGGAACCTATTTTATCATCAAGTGTTGAATATCTCATGCAACTTGTTGAATACCTGTATCCAAACCACACTATCAACCCAGTGCATTATAGTTTGGTTTCTCAGTCTTGTGGTCGAGGGGCTGAGTGAGAGCTGGTAGCTGTGGCTTACTGTCATGGCTCAGTATAGTGAGAGTATTGTACTGTATCTCACTAGCTCATGAAAGGGTCAACATTTGAAGTATGGTTTCTACTAATATGTATCAAGTTCAGGCCTTCATAAAAATGAAAAAAATCTTTGAAAACCACACATCATTATGAATTAGGGACTACATAAGTAAACATGTCCCAAAGTGACGAGAGCAAATGCAGATTAGGTAACAACTATCAAGACCATGAAAAACTATGGTTTTATCTTCAAAGAGAAAATGTAAATTGGTAGGGTTTACTAGAAATTTCTGACTTAATGCCTCACTTCAAATTTTAGTAACACAATTTAAACAGGGTCATAGAACTGTTAAGAATGTGCACTAGGGTATTAGGGCAAGATTATTGATATCTATGCAACCTTAGACAGTCCCATTTGCCTCTCAAAGTCCTTAATTATCAAGCAGGAAATACGAAGTACCTATTTTATGAGTTGCTGTGAAGATGATTTAGGGTAATTGCTTAGTACAATAATTATTGGCTACTATTATTTCACTGTTGTCAATATTACTATTTAAAAATATAACAAAAATTGGGCTGAAAAGGTGGCTCAGTGGTAAAGCGCTTGCCTTGCATGCCTGAGGCCTTGGGTTTGATTCCTCAGCACCACATAAGCAAAAAAAAAAAGCTGGAAGTGGCGCCGTGGCTCAAGTGGTAGAGCGCTAGCCTTGAGCTGAAGAGCTGAGGGACAGCACCCAGGCCCAGAGTTCAGGACCCACGACTGGACCCCCCCAAAAAATAACAAAAATTGCCCATACTCTAGATATTTCATTATATCATGTTATCTTTAACTTGATAGGTGACTGTTAGGCTACTACAACATTCAATCTCAAACACTAAATCTTCTCCCTGAGCACTTCAACACTATACATGTAGGTTCCATACATACAGCCTATGAAATACTGATGTGAACTTGGACTGGCTTACACATACATTGATGACACAGCCACTTTCATCAACATCTTTCTTAGCTACCCTCATGAAGTTTTATTTCTGGAGATCATTTCATAGGAAAGCAATGTAATTAAGTGAAAAAAATAGATTTTTCCATGTTCTCCCTGAGTCTTGTCTGTTAAAAGGGGATGCCAATGGTCCATACACATAAAGTAAGGCAGGTACTAAGACTAGGGCTGATGATCTTGTATGAAAGGACAGCTACAGGAGAGAGCAGGTTATGGTGTGGCACAAAGCCCACTCAACACAACTCAAGAATCTTTCTATTCCTGTACCTCATTTTATCTGTCCATCCATTCATTTATCCAAATTCTCACTGAATATCTACGTGTCAAGAACTGTTCCAGACATTGAAAATACAACCATGAACCAAGTCTATTGTGGAGTCTGAAGCCTGTTTAGAGAGTTCACATTCAATACTTCTTTCCCTCTACACATTTCTTGGAGGTCAATGACAAAAACAATTGCCTAGCTTGAGTGGCCTAACAGTATACTCTGGTGAAGATTGAATGATGAGTTAGAGACAAAATCAAAATCAACAAAGGAGAAAAACAAAAGAACTCTTCAAAAGAAAACCTTGCTTGAAAAAAAATCTGGCTTTAAGAGCAAGCTTCAATCACTAATACAAAGTCATCAGCATGAACACCTATCTCTGAGCAGAATATAACACAGTACAACAGGAATCCAGTGTAATTTTGGAAGCATGGACTTTAGAATCACTTGTGCCTACTTTGAATCCCTGATTTCACACTTACTGGCTATGTTATAAGGTCCGTTAATACTTCAAAAAGATTTTAATTTTATTCTTTTAAGCAAAAGAATAAATAGATATAAATAACTATCAATATCTTTGAGACTTTAAGTATCAGTAGAAAATTAGAACATACATGGGATGAGCAGTCTTTCTTATTTCCAAGTCTTTTTACTGTACATTTTGTGATAATGAAAATTCATCTCTAGCCATAATCTGTGAATTCAACAAGCATTATTTTTACATCAAGATAAAAGTAGTGATTGGCTATTGTCCCTAGCATATCAAATAGTGATTGTGTATATCAAAACAACCTCCAGTAAAATTTAAGTTCAAGCTGGCTTTCAGCTACACTTGTTTCTAAGTGGTCATTTAGTTCTCTGTTCCATCATAGACAGTCACTGTGTTCTATAAAGTATTTAATCCACTCAAGAGAAACATGCCCAAGGAGGGTAACACAAACAAACAATACAGTCCCTGAATTTTTGGATCTTCTCTTTTATTGGTGTAGATCAGACCACTGGCTCTTATCCTAAACTGTGCCTCCATAGTCTGGCGTGTGGCCAAAGCACATTTTTAATGTTCATTAGATGATTCTAATAGGAGCAAGAATGAAGGCCGCTGTTGTAGACAACAATAAGGTTATTCAGAACTGTGAGAACAAAAATTTTGGTAATCATATTTGGTAAGTATTTAAAAACAGGCAGAGTATTTAACAGTGAACCTGTAAGTCTTGGTTAGTATTTTATTTGTGGGGAAATGAATTATGACTAAGAAAAACATTGATTTATTCTAAAGAGTCCAAAAATTCTGACTGCATAATATACCACAAAGTCATATAGTTATAAAAATACTGTCCTCAATGATGTATTGCTTATTTACCCATTAAACTCTTTAAAGAGGCTATATATGAATACATTACTTGCATATCATTATCAAGTTTGAACAGTTTTTTTATACAGAATAACAAATACATACTTTTTACAGTGAAGTTCTGTACAGAAGTAGATTTGGAAATCATCAGAATTGTGAAGCACATAAAGAAAACAGCATCGTTCTTCAAATTTAGAAATACTGAAACAAAAAGAAGCATTAGTCAGGGAAATACAAGAACATCCATGTATCTGTAATAAAAAACAAATGTTTTGTATATCCAATCTTGATTATATCAATGGTTTCTACAACACACAGTCAGAAATTGCACTTTAAAAAGTAAATTTCCAGCCAGGTGCCGGTGGCTCACGCCTGTAATCCTAGCTACTCAGGATGCTGAGATCTGAGGATCACGGTTCAAAGCCAGCCCAGGCAGGAAAGTCCATGAGACTCTTATCTCCAATAAACCACTAGGAAACTGGAAGTGGTGCTATGGCTCAAATGGGAGAGCACTCGCCTTGAGCTGAAGAGCACAGGGACAGCGCCCAAGCCCAGAGTTCAAGCCCCATGACCGACAAAAAAAAAAAAAAGGAAATCTCCATCTGGCACCAGCGGCTTACACCTATAATCCTAGCTACTCAGAAATGGAGATATGAGGATTGTGATTCAAAGCCAGCCCAGCAGAAAAATCAGTGAGACTCTTAATCCTAATAAACTACTCAGAAAAAGCCAGAAGTGGCACTGTGGCTCAAATGGTATAAGGCTAGCCTTGAGCAAAAAAAAGCTCAGGGACAGCTCCAAGGCCCTGAGTCCAAGCCCCAGGACTGGGGAGGAGGGAGGAAGTAAAGAAATTCCCCCACCTCCTAATACTAAACTTATTTAGTATTCTGAGAAATTGTCCTCCTACTCATCTCTGAAGCATAGCACTGCTCTGGGATGCTACAAACATATTGAACTGTCCTGCTGGCTAATGCAGTCGTCTGTGTTGGGAGGAAAAGTACAAATCCTAACTTGCTGGCTGAGCTTGAATTTGGGCTCATTGGATCTGTGGCACAATGACATGTTTCCAAAGGGAGGAAGACAATCTGTAGAGGTAGTAAAAGTACCTCACTCGTTGTACAGATTATAGGAGAGTGAAGAAATAGGAAACAGCCCTTGGTTTGGATTCAGAAAGGGTTTTATTGTAGAGCAACATGAAACAACAAGTTTAGCCATGCTGTTTTACATCAGAAGGAGCAAGCCAACATATTCTGTAATGGGCCAGATAGTAAAATACTTTAGGATCTGCAGGCCAAACCACTCAACTCTGTTGTTGGTAGATGGAAGGAGCCTTAGATAACAAATGAGTATATGTGACTATGTAATAAAACTTTATTTACAAAACAGGAGGCAGGCAACATTGGTAACATGGAGTGTGTGTGTGAGTGTGTGTGTGTATTCATTCCACCAACACTCAGCCCATGGACTATATTTTGTGCTTTGCACAATGCAGAATGTCTTTTTAAATTTACGAGGAAATTCTAGGTCAGGAGTCAGTGGCTCATGCCTGTAATCTGAGCTGCTCAGGAGGCTGAGATCTGACAATTGCAGTTTGAAGCCAACCTGGGCAGAAAAGCCCCTGTGAGACCTTTTTCTCCAACTAACTACTCAAAAACTGGAAGTGGAGCTGTGGTTCCAAGTGGTAAAGCACTAGCCTTGAACAAAGGAGATCAGGGACAACACGAAGCCCTGAATTCAACTGACAAAAAAAGAAAAAAAAAGAAATTCTAGTAATTGTTTATGGCTCATCTAAGACATTACCCACTCTCCAAGCCCTGCTTGTAGCCTAAACAGAAGGTCTCACTGCGTAGCTCACATGTATTGCCATTAGTTGGTAAATGTGTGCTCTTCTTTTCACCTAGAAGCTCTTCAAGAGGAGTTTGATATTTTTGTATCTTTAGTAGAACTCAGCATTTGGCACAATCTAGTGCTCAGCAAATGCCACTGAGTTGATCTGTGCATGTTCTGAGTGATGCAAGATCAATTGCTGACCTAGTTGGATTTTGTTCCATGGTTTGTCATCTTTTCATTATAGAGGAGGAAGCCAGGCAAAGTTCACTCACTTGAAGTCTCAGGCTAGTACTTGAATTTCCTCAACATATAAGCCAGCAAGAATCAGGCAGAGGCATCATATGTATATGCCATAAATTATAACAACTGTTTGTAGAGCTGCCATAGTTAATTAAAGTAAATGAATCTACTAGAAAACAAATTGGATTAAGTGAAATTTATATTTATTATAATAAATGAATTGTTTGGAAAATTCAGTCATAAATAATAAATGCCTTGCTAATGAGTGCTTCTAAAAATTAAATATTAAGAGAGTAAAGCTTTATTTGAGAAGGTATCAATTAGAAAGTATATAATGATTCAGTCCATAATCTTGCTTGTTCGGATCACCCATGAGGTTACAGGAAGTTCTGTCTGCCAAGTCAAAATGATTGGTGACTCAGATTGCTCTACCAGTTCATGTTCTAGCCAAAACAAATCCTATAATTACAAAAGCAACAGGATATTGCATAACTGGCTTGCAGAAGTCTGTTGTCTCCCATTTCTATTATGTGAGGCTATTAGTAAACACAACGAATTGGCCTTGAAATTTCCAAGAATTGGCTTAGCATGGGTGCCTACAGGCAAACATTTAAACACTTTGCCAGTGACATTTGATTCTAAAAAAAAAAAAGATCTTATTTTTAGTTCCCCTCCCCCCCCACCCCACCCCCCGCAATAACATTTTCTGAACTGCTGGCCTTATAAGAGCAATGTTAGGAATTGGAGGTCTGGTTCCAATGGTGGGGCACTAGCCTTGAGCCTAAATGCCAAGCTAGAACAAAAGGCCCCAAGTTCAATCCTCAGTTCATTTTTTTTTTTTTTGGTAGGTCATGGGGCTTGAGTCAGTTCATTTTTTTTAAAGTGACCTGTTGAATTGTTACCCCTTTGTAGAACGAAAGATAAATAACTAAAGATAAAGATAAATAAAAATATAACTGAAAGGAAGAGTGAATGTCAATGTTAGAACTGAATTGAAGTTTGTGGCTATGATCTCAAGAATGCTACAATAACAATGACCTAGAGAGAATTAAAAAAGAATGGATTCCCCATAATCTCATGCCACTAACACTAGCTACAGGACATGGCTAGGCTCACGGCATATGTGCTTTGGATCTATTCAGGAGAAATTAGCTCCTGGTCACCAGAAGGACAGGAAACCATCCTACAACGTAAACCACAAGTGAGGCTACCTGGAGCAGAGCTCCCTGTACTCCCGTCATCTGCATCGTGATTCTGCTCCACAGTTCACATTTACCCCACAGTCACCACGTTACAAGTAGGCGACAAGCAAGTCAGTTCAACGAACAGTGCAGGTCATAGTGTAGGATCACCACGGAGAGAGTGAGACTAAAGAGGTTGGGTATTTTCCTTCAGCAGAAAGATTCTTGAAATGATTTGTATTATTACATCATGATTAAAAGTCCGAGGCATGTTCTGAAGGTGTTTGAGAAAGGCTTTCTAAATAAACAAAACATAGGAAGTCGCTTACCTCACTCCCCTCACAGAGGAAGCATTAAAATCCCACTCGTGTATACCTTTCTAGAACACAGAAAAATGACAAAAACGACTGAGTCACCCAAAAGGCAAATAACATCATTTTTATTTATTGTGTAAATTATTTTTAATAATATAGAATCATTTTTGTAGCATATAATCTTCATGAGCAAATTCACTCAGAAGCTACAATTTAGTCTTAAGTCCCAAGGATGATATGCACTTAATAATTCCTGTACACTGATGACACAGCTTCCAAAAAAGCCTAGGAGAATCAGTGTCAGAATCAGTGTCTTAATGTTTCATTTTTTAGTAATAGCTACTGTGCATTATTTGACATTAAAAAAGGTGATGAAAACAATTTAATATGTACATTAAGTAAACTTTTCTAAGAAAGAAGAGCACTGATTGAAATAAGGACTCTGCAAGGTTTTAAAGATAATGATTTCTAAATTATTTTCTGATTTTTCTTCTTTCCTTGTGTGTGAGACAAGAATCTCATCATGTGGTCTAGATTGGTTGTAAATTCAGGATCTTCCTGCTTTAGGTCTTTAGTACTGAGCTAGAGGCTCAGAGTTCTCTTTAGATAAAATTTCCAGTTTCTCTTTGAGTAAAATCCCTATCTCTGGAGAAATTGATAGAGCAAATATTTTTGTTTTTGTACTTACATGTAGTGTCTATCATAGTTACAAAGTATTACTACTTAATTTATGCAAGTCCAATATGCTAATAAAGTTTGACCATAAAAAAGATAATTATGTGATACACATGGATTGTCCATAGGACCCAAATGCAAAAAAATGGAATTTATTTCTTGACTTTATTACTAAAGCTAACTTATAATTATTATCAAATGTGTATGTCTCTAATTAAATAAATTATAGGAGGGATTATATGTGCTGCTAAAATGCCTGGTAATAATATAAGATCAATAGCATAAATATTTTATAGAAACAAAGTAGCTGATACATATGCTTAAACCTAGCAAATTCTATGCAATAATAAAGTTACACTGACATTCAACTTTGTAAATGTAAAATAAACCCTTCTCCACCCACTGCCCGGGGGCTGAGGACCTGTCTGGCCCTAGTGAAATGAGTAGAGATACTCTAAGGTGGTCCAGAACCCTTCTCTTGGCCAAAGCCACTCAAAAAGCCACAAATGATATCCACAGCCCAGCTGCTAGGGCTATGCAGTTAAAAGTACAGATAGATTGCCAGGAGCTTGATGCAGATGACTGAAAACCTAGTTTCTATGAATACCAATCAGATGACAGGGATCAAACTGAAGGAGCATGGAGCAAATTTTCCTGCGCATGAAGGCCAGAGAGCAAAGAAGACACCATTGAAAGAAAGGTGTTCACGGAATTTGGCTCTGGGGTATTTACTGGGGCTTGAACTCAGAGCCTGGTCACTCTTAGCTTTTTTGCTCAAGGATGGTGCTCTAAACCTGAGCCACAGCTCCATCCATTTGCAGATTTTTTGGATGATTCATTGGAGCTTAGACTATTACAGACTATCCTGCCCATATTGCCTTTGAAACTTCATCCTCAGTTCTCTGCCTCCTGAGTAGCTAGGATGAAGGCAGAATCCGGCTCTCTTAGGCAGGTACAGAGGAAGGTAAATTAAAATAACAGCCTGTAGCTTTGATGGGAATTTTGTAAAGTTGTTTCCAAATAACTCCTACTGTCAACAATTCCTGGTGGCCTCCGAGAAACTTCAAGGTACCTATGTGATCCAGGCACTGCAGCGGCTGGCTGCCTGCATACTACTTGCACACAAAGTAGTATTATCCCCAGAGTGTGCTACTGACCTGCTTCCGAAGACCACGTCCCCAATCAAGAGGTGGAGCGTGGGGGTGAGGGCAGAGCCAGAGGGACGGTGCACACTAGCCCCGGAACAGGCACCCAGCAAGCACCAAGACAGCACTGATAAAACAATGTTCCCAGCACTGTGCTGGGAGCAGCCATGGAGAGAGTTCCAAGACTGATTGGGTTGATTCTATAGGAAAGGGTGAGGGCACTTCCAGAATTCTTGGCTCCTGAAAGGATGTCAAGGCTGCCAGAGAACTTTCCAGTTCAATGCTGTCTAGCCCAAGGACTGAGGAGTGATTTTTCATCTAAGACTTCAATCCCCACTTACCCTGCTCATGTCACTCACCACACGGAGGCGCTGGTGAGCTACAAAGTTACCTGGTGAGTTTCCAGGTACCAGGAGCCCTATCTGGGAATCAGGATTTTAAAAGGTAGGGCCAGAAGCCAACATGGAGTGAATACTTAGACCCAGCAATTCCCAAGCCAAGGCTCAACAAACTGCATAAGTCAGCATATGTACCTCAAACTCAATAGCCATGAAGAACTGGGAGCTGATATTGAAGTCTCTGTTGCAGAAATTACACTGTGGCAAGTGCAAAGAGTTCCCTGGGCAATAGCCTTTCTTTTGCTAACGAAAACTATATTTTGTTCAGGTTCAGATGGGACAGTAAAATTGATTTAGTCCAACTGGGCCACATTAAGTCCATTTCCTGCTGCAGCCCGATTCAGGCATGGCTACCTGATAGAGCATTTTGTAGGAGGGAGGGAAGGAGGAGATCCCTACGTGGCGATGCTTAAAACAGCTATGGACGATCAGGAGAAAACAACCAAGGCTATGTAGACACACCATCTGTGAATACTGATGCTGAAATCTCCTTCAGTTAGCTCCATTTCAGAGTTTCTTGTGACATGAAATACCATTTCCTGTTCTTTGAACTGTTTCACTCGGGAGTTTTGTAGCTGAAGGGAGGATAGCACTGATCACAATAGACATTGTCCTATCACTTGTTCCCTGGTTGTTCTCTGGGGGACCACAGGCCCGAGCTAGGGTAAGGGAGGAGGGGTGGCCTTTGTACTTCTCTGGGCCCATGCCACCTGCTTGCCTGTGCTTGAGAAGCTACCAGATAGTCCAAGCATGCTTAAACTTTAACCGTAAAAGGAGACAATTCTAACTCACAACTATTTAAAATGCTTTGTAACTTCTCTCTCTCTCTCAATCTAGTTTTGTTTTCATTGCACCCTTGCAATGTTCTCAAGTACTAACTGATTTTAAGCAGAAGATTGTGGATGAGATTGGGATTCAATTAATTTTGCCTCTGAATATAAAGTAGGTTTAGATCCGAAGAGTCCCTGGGGAATTGGTACATAATGTGCTTAACGTTGTGAAAAACTGAAATATAAAGTATATTCTCACTAGCATTTTACAGTACAAAATGCTGAGGAAGGGTAAAAAGATCAATGTAAGAAATGAAAGGCAACATTCTCTGTGCTAGTTTTAGAAAAAAAAATATGACATTGTGTGTCAAAAGCAATCCATTTCCTGTTTAATGTAAGACTTATTAAACTAGTTGCTTATCTTAATACAGTTTTACAGTCATTTTAAACTAACATGGTGCTAATAAAACTCTTACTTTTATTGCTAGTCTTCCTTTCAATTTTACTTCAATTTAAAAAACTATGTAAAGTGACAGAATAAATTCACTATGGATAAACTTGAGAGTTTACATGTAAATCAACAAAAAAATCAAACTGAAACTGATTTATGAAAACTTTAACTTTTGAAGGAGAATTCGTTTTAGTCCTGAAGATTACTGCCAATGGGAAGAAATCAAATGTTTTTCTTCTTGATCAAAGGTTGGTGAAAATAGGCACTAGATAACTCATAGCTCAAATTTGTAGCTTTTCCTAATGTACTGGATTACATCCCAATGTATTTATTCCTTAGTATAAAAAATTATCCCTAAATGTCACAAAGCATAAAGAAATGAATAGAGGCTTAATTTACCAATGGAGAAACTTCAGTTATGACAGACAGTAACAGCTCACTGGAAATAGTACTTATTTTCCAGAATTCTCTGGCCTATTCTCTGCTCTTTTTGTGTCTTCCAAATTCTTCTGGCTCTGCACTCCTCCTCTGAGCCTTGCTAATCGCTAATTCCTTAGCCCCTTCTGTTTCCAAGTGTCCTGGGATAACCCCACTCTTTCCAATCAAGCCCTTGAAAATCACTCCTAGTATTGCTCTCGCTCCATTATATCCCATTGCCTAATTCATCTCCGATTCTGTAGCTTCATTTGGATGATTACTAAACTTGTGAGAACAGGTCTGCATATACTTGTAAAACAATGCACACGTAGCACAGCACATTAAAACACTATTAACATAATTGCATTGATTATTCTCGATTTGTCTGTGCATGATTAGATGTGGAGTCAAGCCATTTTAATTAAAGAAGCTGGGCAGACGGGCACTGGTAGCTCACACCGATAATCCTAGCTATTCAGGAGGCTGAGATCTGAGGATTGTGTTTTGAAGCCAGCTTGGGTAGGAAAGTCTGTGAAACTCTTATCTCCAATAAACTACTCAGAAAAACCTGGAAGTGACATTGTGGCTCAAGTGGTAGAGCACTAGCCTTGAGAAAAAGAATTTCAGGGACAGCATCCAGGCCCTGAGTTCAAGCCCCAGGACTAGCATAAAAACAAACAAACAAATAGAAGAAGCTAGGCATGAAAGTGTACACCTGACATCCCTGCTATGATGGGAAGCCTAAAAAAAGTAGATCATAGTCCAGTCATATGACCAGGTAAGAGACAAGACCTCATTTCAAGATGACCAATGCAGAACATGACTGGAGGCATGGCACAGAAGTACAGTACCTGCCTGGTACTGTACACCAGTAGCGAGAAACTAACAAAAAACAAACAATAAAAACAACAAAACCACTGATGAAATACAGAAGCAGAAAGGTTTAGGTCTTTTCCAATCCCATTTGTGGAACAAGCCTGCTGTGAACAGGAATGAGAGTACTGAAAATCCATCTGAAAGCTGGGATCCCACAGCCCAGCTCATTTTGTGCACAGCCAATGTGAGCTTAGGCAGCTATTTAGAATTGCTCAATACAATAGTATCTATGATGGCATCAACTGAAGACTAGAAGTGGCATTATTCTGACAGTCATCTGAACATTAGGTATGCATCATTTACTACATGTATTTTAAGTTCATTGATACATTCATTGATACAGCATTAATCTATAAAACAGAAATATTCCAATCTTGAGAATACTTTCAATGGCTTTGCTATCTATAATAGACTCCCAGATAGTTCAATTTGTTTTACTGAGTGAAGTTCATAACCCAAATTCAGTAAATTTGACATTAAGGAATGTATTTATCCTAAGATAAATACAGTCAAGTTCTTCACTAACATAGACATTGAATAGCATAGGTAAATACTAGAAAGGGCATAAAGTCATTCCCAGCATTATGTTATAATTGAACAATTTACCTTGTCATCCGGAAGCACATGCCAAATGGATATTGTTTTTTCTTCCACTTCATTGTTGATAGACAAGTAAGAAGGCTGATAAATTTTGGTTGGTTCTAATATTAATACCTTAAAAAGACAAAGAAACTCATTTTATTGATTTAAGACCTTAATCACTTAAGAGCTGCTACTACAACACCCAAGCATTAAAGTGGAAGATTGTCAAATGAGGCTGTGGATCCATTTCTGGAGTAGCCCATTTAGCTAAGGATAAGACCCAAGATCATTTTATATTATACAAGTATCAAAAATGACTTGGCCTTAGCCTATATATTAGTTCCATGATTTCAAGTGTGTGTGTGTGTGTGTGTGTACTAAGGCTTGAAGTCAAGAGTCTCATGTACTTGATCAGCTTCCCACTTGAGGCTGGTATTCTTCCACTTTAGCTATGCCTCCAACTCATTATTTTGATGGTTAATTAGAAATGGAGTATCATGGAGTTTTCTGCCCAGGCTGGCTTCAAACAAAGGTCCTCCAGGTTTTAAATTCCTCAGTAGCTAAGAATACAGCCATGAGCCACCAGCATCCATTTTTTAAAGCTAGATACATTTTTTAAAACTTATATATGCATCCATAATCTTTTTCTATAAAAAAAAGCAGTGTTAAAGAGAGGCAGAACATCTTAAAACAATTCTGTGCACCAAACTGGGAAGATTCCATATGCAGAATGTCCCATCCTTACTTCAGGTTTCCTGCTGGCACACTTTACCATAAAGATACAGTCTTCACATCCATGAAAACAGATTAGGAATGATTTTGGTTATCAATGAAAGAGAGCTCTATGAAATAATATTTCCATATTCTCAAGACAATATAATAATGATATATTTAGCCTTGCTCAGGAAAAGAGATTTAAATTTTGCTCCTGTATCGGAGTAGTATACAGGATGTATGATATATGTGAGTTAAGTCTGCATCAAAGGGTCGCATAAACCTTTATAGTGTGAATGTCTCACATCAGGCAGAAATGACATTAGAATACTAGACATGTCCTGATTTCAATTGCTATTATTACCTTTTTTGTAGAGATGCTTAAGGACCCATTGTTTTTAATGAAGACTTCAGTAACAATGATTTTCTTTTAAAGAAAAAGAAAAGCCACTAGAGAAATGAGATTAAGTTTTTGAACCCCACTGCTTGCTTTTAACACTCAAAACAACATTACTTTTAGTAGCAATTTTGACTCAAGCAAGTTTACCAAAGAAAAGAGGATTGCAGGGAGGTGGAAGAAACTTTCCTAAGGCTCTGTCAACAAGAAATTACAGATTCACAATACATTAAAATATACAAGGCAGCATGAGCAAGAAGGCACAAGAATCTGGGTCAGAAAATTGGTTTCTGGCCACATACCGTGAACTCAATGCATTCCTTTTACTTTAAATTTATCATAACAGTACTTTTATGTAAGCTATTGTACAGAGACATAGAAAAGGGCTGCTAGAAAAACAAAATTTTTCTTTCCTCTTTGAATATAAAAAGCTTTGAGAATTCAAAGAAATTTTGGCCAAGATCTCTCTCTTCTACTAGGAAAAAAGATAGGCCATCCCACAAATAAATGCATGGCAAGAGGCCCCAGGAACATATTCAAACTCAGAACGCATTCACTTACTAGGTAAATTAAGGTCCAGATTCCACCCAATAGAATTAAGTGGTATTGATTAACACTGAAAATTGATTTTCAATCTCAATCTTGTAAATAGAAATGGTGTTTTGTATCTGAGTAACCCAGTGTTGAGGAAATTAAAAAAGAACAATAGGAGCTAGGTGCTGGTGATTCATGCCTATAATCTTAGCTACTCAGGAGGCTGAGATCTAAGGATCACAGTCTGAAGCCAGCCTCGGTAAGAAAATCCATGAGACTCATCTCCAATCAACCACCTAAAAAACCAGAAGTGGCACTGTGGCTTTGAGCACTAGCCTTGAGCCCCAACAAAATGATAATAATGATGATAATAATAATAAGACATAAAATTACCTAAGTCTTCCATAACAAATTGAGGTTATTATACTTTATTCCCTAATTCTGTGGGTTCATTATGCCACCAAAGGAGCACAGCCCTAGGTGAACTCCATTTTTTTTTTTTTGTCAGTTGTGGGGCTTGAACTCTGGGCTCCATTCTTGTTAAATTATTTCTTTATTGTTAGTTCAAATGCTTTTAATAGATAATGCCCTCTGTATTCCTAACTTGAGATAGGGAATAAACACAAGGTTAATTATGGCTGCCTAACATTTCTTGGGCCATTTAGTCTGTCCCTGAAATGGCAAAATGTGAGGGATTTGCAACACATACTACAGAGGTGACGAAAGGAAATTGTAGGGAAACACAACAGGCATCAGTGGCTCATGCCTGTAATACTAGCTGCTTAGGAAGCTGAGATTGAAGGTTTGTGATTCAAAGCCAGCCCAAGTAGGAAAATCTGTGTGACTTTATTTCTAACTAACAACCCAAAAGCTAGAAGTGCAACTGTGGCTCAAGTGATGGAGTGCTAGCATTGAGTAAAGAAGCTAAGGGATAGTGCTCTGGCCTCGAGTTCAAGCCCTAGTACGGGTTCTAAAATAAATAAGTAAATAAAAACTAAATAAGGAAATAAATAAATAAGTTAAGGAGGCAATTTGACAGGACTATTGAAATCATTTACCAAATGAAACTTTTAACGTTCCTTTACCCAGGGGCTGGGTTACTTTTGGGAAAAACAAGAATGGATATGTACATAATCATAGTCAATATTTTCTCCTATAGGTCATCCTGGTGTTTCATCAGAGCAGCTTCAGCAGAAGGAGACTGTGATGGTCCTAATCCAGACCACCCCTCCTCCTCCCGCAACCTGCGTAAGTGTGAGCCACAGCAGTTTCATAAGATAAATCAGGGACTGATCCTCCATCATGTCTACAAAGGAAGTTCCAGAAGTGATAATATTTTTTTATTCACATATTGGTCTTATATTCTGTTACACTCCCTTTTTTAACATTTTTGTTATTCTAAAGGTGATGCACAGAGCAATTACCACATCATGTCAGTACATTTCTTTTTGGACAATGTCACTCCTTCCCTTGTTCCCTCCATTTCAACATGCACATAGTATACAGTTCATTTTCAATATTGTTTCTATTAAGGACCGCTGCTGCTTGTGTTCACCCTATGACTCTCCATTTTTGTGCCCTCGAATGCCTAGCATCCCTATATAATTTATCATGTCCTGCCATATTTTAGATCTAACTTCTGCATATAAGAGAAAACGTGCACTGTTTGTCTCTTTGAGCTTGGCTTACCTCACTTAACATTATTTGTTCTAGGTACAGAACACAACCTGAAAATCACATAATATTATTCTTTCTAATAGCTATGTAAACTTCCATTGTGTATATGTAACACATTTTTTTTTGGATCCACTCATCAATTGTAGGGCATCTGGGCTGGTTCCATACCTTGGCCATAGTATATACTCTTGTCTATATTGAATTTTTTAACTCCATATGTTTTCTCTTTTTTTTTTTGTCCTGGTCCTGGGATTTGAACTCAGGGCCCTGAGCTTTTGTGTTCAAGGCTAGTGCTCTACCATGTGAGCCACAGCTCCACTTCTGGCTTTTTAGTGGTTAATTAGAGATAGTCTCTTGGACTTTCCTTCCAGATCTGGCTTCAAACTGTGATCCTCAGATCTAAGCCTCCTGAGTAGCTAGGATTATACGCATAAACCACTGGCTATTTTTACTAATTTTAAACAATATCTTTGTAGTTTCTGAAGGGCGTAATCATACATGTAAATATGAGAAAAGACTCAAGAGGTTACTCATAAGATAATTTCTATTGAACTGGACCATTTGATAGACTTAACATTTTCTTGTTAAGAATTCATACAAGATGAAGTAATTATAAGGAAGTTCGGCTACACATGCATTTTTATAAGCTCAGCTACTTGTGAGGCTGAGGCAAGATGATCTCAAGTTTGAGACCAGTCTAGGCAATATATTGAGACTACCTCAAAACAAAATTTACATGTTGTGGGTTTTGTGAGTATAGTGCAGTGGTAGATTAGTTGCATGTTGTGGGTTTTGTGAGTGTAGTGCAGTGGTAGATTAGCTGCATGTTGCGGGTTTTGTGAGGATAGTGCAGTGGTAGATTAGTTGCATGTTGTGGGTTTTGTGAGTATAATGCAGTGGTAGATTAGTTGCATGTTGTGGGTTTTGTGAGTGTAGTGCAGTGGTAGATTAGCTGCATGTTGCGGGTTTTGTGAGTGTAGTGCAGTGGTAGATTAGCTGCATGTTGCGGGTTTT